CCTACCTATCTATCTATCTATCTATCTATCTATCTATCTATCTATCTATCTATCTATCTATCTATCTATCTATCTATCTATCTATCTATCTATCTATCTATCTATCTATCTATCTATCTATCTGGGTTTTGAGTGTTGCAGAATATAGAGCAAGGGGAAGTCACTGTGGCTTAGTTTCTGCCAGCCACATATACTATTGTTTTTATTTATTTAAAATATTGTTACCCCATATTTCTGCTCAAAAGGACCTAAGGCAGTGTTCATACCTATGGGCCATGCATACCTGGCTGTCTGAGAAACTATTTGCACAGAAAATGAAATTCTGAATGCTATCATCCTAGCTCAGTTGTGATGACTGAAAGCAGAAGGTAGATTGAGACCTATTGTAGATTTTTGCTTGATTTTCAGCAGATCACTCATGATTTTCCTGACCCCTAGCTGTTTCCTTTTGTGGGCAGGGAGGGCGCACAGCTAGGCTGCTGAAATAAAATTTGTGGGCGAAGAGTACTCAAAGTGGAATTTTCGTGCAAAACTCATCATAGCTAAGAGCCAGTTTTTGGTCAGTAAGCTATCATGCAGCTGGCCAGACATCTCAGTGGTTAGGGCCTTGGGCCAGTGTCACAGCAATCCCAGGGCACCCCCAGAAGAAGGGAATGAGAAAACTCTTCGGAATATTCTCTACCTGGAGAACCCTGGAAAGGGTTGCCATAAGTCAGAACTGGCTTGACAGCACATGATGATGATGATGGATGATGATGATGATGATGATGATGATGATGATGATGATGATGATGATGATGATGATGATGAAGGTAACATGCATGTGGAAGGAAGGAGGGAAGGAAAGAAATTAGTTTGCTGGGCTGGGCCCTTACTAAGAGGCCGTCCGTTTCTTAATCGCATGCCTGTCTGCTGTTCTTCATCAGGGCAATATTTTAGATCCAGCTTTGTGTGGAACCTGCAATTCCAGTTAAATGCGCGCACACATGTCGAAACACCACAAAACAGGACCCACAAACCTAAAGTCTGTTTGCCCCCGACGTGAAGCCTGGAGCCTTGCCCTTCTGGAAACCAGTTCTGCTGAATTCTGTGGGACTTTGGCCTTTTCAAACTGGGGTGGACAAACGCAATCTTCTCCCATGTTGCTGGACTTAAACTCCTTGCTTTCCTTACTATAAGCGACGCTGACTGGGGCTGATGGGTGTCGTAGTCCCATGACATCTGGAGATCTACTCTTTGCCACCTCCAGGTTAAACCTCTTTCCTTGGAAAGCAAGGAAAAAAGGGGGGAAGGGTCTGTATCTTACCATTAAATATATTTTAGTATTTTTGATATAATATTGATAAAACTGATTCACTGCCCATGAAGCTTTACAGAGGAACAAACACGTGCCGAGGACACTTACAACATACAGTTGAATGCAGAGGGAAGAAACCAAAGAAACGAGGGGATGATGGGGAGACTCCCTTGTTTGCTTTGGAATAATTACACCCATTTAGTCTTTGATTTGCACATAAACTAAATAAACTACAGTTTAGGGACTCAGATTATGTGGGACTCCTCCGTCTTTCTCTCTCTCCATACAGTAGCTTTCTTTCCCTCAAATCCTAGGGAGCTGCTTAAATTTGGCAGAGCTTAAGGCCTCAGCAAGGCTGAATCTGGCCCTGCGTGTAGCCGGTCTTAATTTCAGATCCGGCTTCTCGGCTTCTCCGACAAGAAGGAAAGTGATGTTGGAAGCAAAGATACAACATAAGCATTTTCAGTGTTGGGACATATAGAGAAAGGCCACCCATTTCTTCCTCCCACACCATAAAAGGCAGCTCTGAAAATCAGTAATGATTCTGAACCATTGATCACGACCACGGTGCCCTCATTCTTATTTCATCATATAGATGAAGACACTCACCCACGTGACAAGTGGCACCTGGACAGAGATTTGCCACTGCCTCTGCTTCTGTGGAGGCAGGCAAGTCAACTTTATTAAAACTTCTGCAAGAAAGGCAGACCTAGCTTCCAGGGAAAGTTCTAAAAATAAAAGGCAGAGAGCATGACAGCCTTCCTTGGGCTCGTTGGAGGAAAGGTGGGGCCCCAACTTTGGCAATAATAAATATATTATAAGGAACAAATGGGGGACTCAGCAGAGGTGTCCCCTTTCTAAAGACCCAGGGCCAAGTTTGTCCATTTAGAACACACTCCTTTATCAATTGCATTCCTTACAAGATATACCCTGTATACAACATCTTCCCAAATCTGAGTCATACAAACTTTTGTCCTCTCCTTTCCTTCATCATCTGAAGAAAAAATAAATAACATCCACCCACCAAATTCTAGGAAAAAGTTCAAACTATTCCAATAAGCCTCTCCTTCCTCGGCATGCTTTGTGCAAAATTCCAAATGACAGGAGCATTCTGCAACAACAAAAAGGTAAATAGATGACCCTGTTTCATATCTGAATATATACATTCTATTTATACACTGCATATGAGAGAGAGAGAGAGAGAGAGAGAGAGAGAGAGAATCATTTAACTCCCAGATAGACCTTGTTGGCTGGATTTTCATAGGGACTCACTCAGTCCCCCTTATCTTCATGTATGGCTGCCTCGTGTTTAACACACAATTACATTTTCTTTCTCCAATTCCATTACAATTGGAATTGAGGCAAGCATTGTTTGAAGAAATGTACTGCATCAGGTCTAGTTATGTCGTACAATTCAGGAGGAAAGAGAAGAGAAAGAATATGGAAATACACAGAGAGAGAGAGATCATTTGTTCAGTTTTATTTACCATAAACAAAAAGCTGCTCTAGATATTTATATATTGGGAGGAGGGAGGTGCACAAAAAGTTATCCAGGAAAAAGGGGTTGCTCACAAAAAGGTTTTTTAAAAAAATGATTGGAAGTAAATTAATTGCACTGAACTATTGACGAATGACCTAGCCTCCATCGTAATTCATTTAGAGAATATTAAAATCAGAGGAACAATAATAAAATCCTGCCAGCTCCCAGCGGAAGGAGATGGCCAGCAAATTGAGTAGTTTTCTTAATCTGGCGTAAATAATAACATGTCTTCTCGCCTCTCATTCTCTCTCTGGCCAATTCCTCCCATCATTTACTGCAGCCTCAAAAGCTTGTCTCCATAATTGATATCAGTTACTCAGGGAGGGCTTTCCCATCTCTTGTTCTGGGTAACCATTTCAAAGTTTACCCTTTGGATTCAGGCCTTGGGGGTTGTTTATTATCATTATTATTCCAGTGGAAGGCTATGTTTGGACATTATTTGGCTTGGTCCTTCAGCCAAGGCATTCCGAATACAAGGGGAAAAAAAGAGAAGAGTTTTCAGGCAAAATTAGAGGTGGCATTTAAACAGCTGCTGGCAGTTGCTCCCTTCTTGTTGGCTTTTCATTGATTATGATGGTTCACTACTTTTTTCTTATCAAAAGTAGCCTCTATTCTTGATTTATGGATTCATTGTTTTATCTATTTATTCCTCAAATGTATTTCTGAAAATATTTTTCCAAAGGAGCTAAGGCAAGGAAAGGCAACCCAACGCAACCCAACTCAACCCAACCCAACCCATCTTAACCCCGATCTCTGCTAACCACCCTTGCTGTGCAATTAACCCTTGAACCTACTCTCTGTGTCCACTCCCTGACCAGCCAAATATATTTTTCTGCCCAAGGAGCCACAAATGGCACTTCCCATCACTCCACACCACAAGTCCAGTCATAGGCTGGTCAAGGCTGGTCAAGTTATTTTGGCACCTGAGGCAGGAGAGACCGAGGGCACATGGTTTTCTTTGTAGCGGCCAAAATACAGCACCAATAATAAATATCTAACAGTTTTGTGTCTCTGCTAGATGAACATGTGGTTTGGTATACAAGGCAATGATCTTTCGAGCCAGTCCTTTATTCAGCATCATGAGTTTTGTTTCATTTCTTGGAGAAACAGTAACCATGTGCTGTCAAGTCAATTCTGAACCATTTCAGGAGTTACCAGGTAGAAGATACTCAGAAGAAGGGGTTTCCCCTTCCCTCCTTCTGAAAGGGGCACCCTTGGGATCACGGTGCAGCT